TAGGAAGAGTTCATGGAAGATTATGAAGGGTGTTATGGTGGTAGCACGTGGCATAAAATCTGGAACTTTATACACCACTGTAGGGTGTATGAACATGGTTGTTGTTGCTGAGAGTGCTTCAAATTCAAGTTTATGGCACAATAGACTTGGACATGAGGGTTAAAGGAATGAAGATGCTGGCTGCGAGCACAATAGACTTGGACATATGAGTGTGAAAGGAATGAAGATGCTGGCTGCAAGCACAATAGACTTGGACATATGAGTGTGAAAGGAATGAAGATGTTGGTTGCGAAAGGAGTTTTAGAAGATCTGAATCTGTTAATGTGGGTCGTTGTGAGAATTGCGTTATGAGCAAGCAGAAACAAGTTAGCTTCACAAGGACTGCCAGAGAATTGAAGAAAGTGTGGTTGGAATAGTCCATATAGATGTGGAGCAAAGTTTCAACACTACGAAACAAGTGGGAGTTGAGCTTGAGTTACAAGGAAACTCACCTAGTGATGTTGTAGCAGATACTCATGAAACTCCTGAGACTACTATCGAGGAACAAGATATGGAGCAAGGTTCAAAGACAATTAAGCAAGTGGGAGTTGAGGTTGAGTTGCGAAAAAAACCACCTAGTGATGTTGTAGCATATACTCAAGAAACTCCTGAGACTGTTGCAGAGAAATCAGCGGTAGAGCAAGTGACACCTGAATCGGTGTTGAGAAGATCATCCAATACTATCAGAGTACAAGATATGTATGTACCTTCCTTACACTATCTGTTGCTAATAAAATGGAACCAAAGCCCTTTGATGAAGCCCTACAGTTGGAGGATACAACCAAGTGGGAGCAAGCCATGGATGATGGGATGTCTGGTTAGTGAAAGATGGTGATGTGTTTGGAGAAGATAGAGGGTGCAAAAAATCCAACAAACATGTTACAAAATGTGTTGATGTTGGAATATTGAGGTTGTGCAAAGCCTCAATTGGTATGGTGCCATGAAGGTGCTCATGGTCGTTGAGAATTGTTAGATTATGGAGCCTGCTGGTTATTTATAACTTAGTCAACGGTTATACATAGTAAAGCTATATATGGTAAATGCATATAAAGTAAATTTTCATAAAAAATAGTAAATAGACATATAAAATAAATTGTCATAAATGATAAATAGTTATGTATAGTAAAAAGCTATATATCCGGTAAAAACTATATATGCTATATAGTTATATATAATAGATGGTTATATCAAGTAAAGTTATATAGTAAGCTCAACCATATATATATCTGCTCAGACAAAGATTTAAAAATGTACTTTCTGTATTATCTGTATTCTCTATTACTGTACATGTCTGAAGTCATCAATATCAACTTTAGCCAATATTCTCCTTACATTTTCTCTATCCTGTTCTTTGTGTTCATCTAGATCGAGTGTGTGCATTGTTGTGCGATCCTAACAATATCAACTGTAATGATCCTAGATTTCTGCTAACCTAAAGTCGATACCATTATCATAATACACTCCCTTATGCAAAAATAATCCTTTAAAACATATTCATTAAACAATGTCAAGAGCTTACATGTTTTCAAAGAAATGACTTAAAGCGATGCAAACGAAATATTAAATAGAATAAAGTAAATATTGAAAACAAACATGCCCTATATTAACCTGTAGTCTAATAATTTAAATATCATTATCCTATGCATATGTCATGGTTTTTACTTAAGTTGTCGTCGTCATTCGTACGGGGGTACCTTGCCTTTACCTGAAAAATAAAAGTAGGATACAACTTGAGTACTTTAAGAAATACTCAATAAGTGACTCCACTATTGCGGTTAGGGAATACAAACACATGCAACTCATGATTAGGGACCTATCGGTCAAACCATTATAGAGGTGGCCTCCAGTCCAGACAAAATTGGATATGTAGTACTTCCCTACACACGACTCACATGTGCGAACATGAGTCCCCAGGCAATTCGCACCCCCTAGACCCATCATAGTCTGGCTAGTTGTTCGTAGCTAAACGTTTGAAGGTCAACAAATCTTCGAATATCATGCAAGGTCTGATCATCATAATCATCATCATAATGCACGCGTCCGTACTCATCATCATAAATGGGGAAGTAACCAAATGTATATGAATACACAATATGCATGAGATCCTTATAGTTTTCATCTTAAATTGTTCTTATGACATAACCCTATATATCATTCACATATTACTCTAGATAACATGCATGCATTTGTTTTCATACGTTCATCATCATTAACATCATTTAGAGTTGTGTCTTAAAAACTCTTCATCATACTGTATTATGTCATTTAGTACATGCACATTATCTTAATATGGAATATCATCATATTAAGTCATATCGTCATCTGCCTCTTACATCATCATGTTATCATACATCATCATCATGTCATCATATCATGTAACACCCAAGAACTCAAAGGTTTCCAAAAACAGGTAGTTTATACTAGGTTGTACAAGGTTTGGAAAACAATGAAACAAAAAAATTGGAAAAGAAAATTAGAAAATGGAAATTTTCAATTTTTATTAAACTTCCTCGATTTTTAACATTTTATTGTGTAAGATTTTCAAGATACTAAAAAAGGGAAAATTGGTCAAGAGGAGGTAGATAAATTTTTAGAAAATTCTAAATTTTTCAAGAAAAATAATATTTAAATAATAAAAATGGTAAATTGCCAAAATACCCCTTAAAGAATGGATAATCACAAAAAATGTCACTCTAATCAAAATTAGAGTATCTATCTTGACCATCTGCACAAAATTCTTCGAAACTCAAATCTCAGCCGTTGGATCTCCTCCAAAATTGGATATGATCTAGAATACTCATAGATCATCACATCCAACGGCTAGTATTCAAAACTAGGTCAGTAAAACCCTAGTCGAAGCAGATAATTTCAGCGAATGATCCAGAAAACACAAAAATGGAATTGTGATGATTTTAGACATTTCAATAGTGGTGGATCATTCCTTTATAAATTATGGAGTTTGGCAACTAATAGAAACAAGAAACAAGTTCAATCGAGAGTTACGAGTGTTTAGATTTTGGGTATAGTGTTCTCGAATTTACTTCAAATTTGAAAGCTATAATCCATCTTTCCTTCTCAAACTTGTTACTACGTGTCCTAAGGAGGATTGCCTAGAGGTTTGGTGAAGGAAGGAAGCCTCGAAACCGTCCCTATCCTATTCCCTCAACTCTGTCCACCATTGAAGAAAACTCAAAACATCACATAGCGTAGCTTAACATAACATAGCATATCATGACATATCATGACGTATCATAACATCACATAGCGTAGTTTAACATAACATAGTGTAGCATAGCATAACATGACATAGAATACATATGACACGTGAAACAGCTATGAGGCACGTGTCATCATACATAAAACAATTATTCCAACCAAACAGATAGTAGAGGCACTTACTTGATTGGTCTAGACCAAAATCACTACTACCTTGATGCTAGCTTAACGCCACTTCTTAAAATATAACTTTATCTAAGGAGTCCCACACTCATAACTTAAAATTCTATTTAATTTATCTATATTAAGTTTCATTAGGTTGATATTTATAATTAGTCTAAATAAATATCAATTGAGGTTTTGTCAGCATATTAATGATTTTGTCTTCTGCTCGAAATTTAAGGTAAATTGAGAGAGAGAAAGAAATCGATTGGGAAATTGGGGTTTTAACCCAACTCAAATGGAAAATTGGGTTTTTTAATTCAACTCAATCCAACTCATGCATGTTTTTAGTGATTTGGTAAGTCCGTTGAAGAGTTGTTTCTCTAATAGTTTGGTAAGTTCGTTGCGGACGAATATACCATAATGTCTTTTGCAAGAACTTTGTATCTAGTAAGTGAACATCAAGCTCCACATGCTTGCTTCTTCAATGGAAAATGGCTAGAGATTGTGCACTAAAGTTACAACACTAAATGATAGATAAGTCCAATAGGTTTTCATTGATTTCATTCAATAATTAGCTTTACATGCTAACGATCAATATTATGATTTTGTGATGATCTTGCTACTACCATGTAATTTAGATGGCCACAAAACCAAAAATTCTCCAAAAAAAACACAACAGACCTTCTAACGTCTAGATTCACACCCTAATTAGCATCAGAGTAAGAATTAATTTGTAACCGATCTGATTTAGCTATATTGAAAATTCTTATCTATGATTTTAAACTAGTTCTAAAGGATGTAAAAACAAACTAAAGTGCATATTTTTTCATCATGAATAGCTAAATGAAAGAGATTGGGTATAAAAAGAGTTAAATTTTGAAGAACCTAAATGTGATTTTGCATTTTTGTGAGAGAGCGGTAATTTTTACCTAAATTGCAGTAAAAATGTGCCTATAATATAAGATAACTAAGACCAAATCCCTTTATTCACTGTAATAATGTTGAAGACAACTCCTCACAGTTTTCAAAAGAAACTCTATGCCTTCTAGTCTCTAACGCCCAAAAGCATAGGAAAAAGTAAAAGAGAAAAACTTCGACATAGTATATGATTCTGGTCTATATCTACCTCATAACCTTGTTGCTTTGAAATGCACTAGAGAAGGGTAGCATGGATGAATATAAAAATACTCCGTAACTAGCCTCATTTGCTGGAACAAAAGTGTTGTAAAGATTCAAGTCATAGATCTTGATACTTAATACTCATCCGGCTCTAAACATTCATGCATAATAATTATCTTGAAACATAAAGGTCGTATTTCTAGGCTTAGCTAGTCTAGGTGTGCAACTAGCTATTTATTTGCTTAACCAACTGAGATACATACGTGGAATAATCATAAAAAACTCACTGCTACTACAAGTTAGTCAACGACCCTCTAGAGCTTCATCATAGTAACCTCATAACATCATAAACACGAGAGCAATGACCTCGTACCTGAACCAACAAATAACTTCTAGCTACTTCAGGCTAGTTGGCATCCCTCTAGTAGTCTCATCATAGTAAGCTAAAAATACCATAAACATGAGGAGAGAGGTCACGTGTCAGTACCAACTAAGATAAATATGTGGGTTGTGTATAAATAACTCATCACTAAAGCAGCCTCGTCATAACAACCTAATAACATAAAGAGGCACATACATAATCATAACAGAGTGGCAGGAAACAACAAAGCATGCTCATATCTAAGCTCTATATAGAAATTCATGTGTCATGCTACAAGGGTTTGAAGACGAATGATCAACAATAGATTTCATTCCTATATTTTCAACAGGGCAATAGGTTGTTGGGCGTTGCTTGTTGCTAATCAACGCCAAGATTTCGGTTTTCCCTTCTTTTTTTCTTTTTTCTTTTTTTTTTTTACTACAATTTCTTTCCTCCTTAAAAGCTTTCATCCCTAAAAAAATTCTAGTTCTTAAACAACTTTGGGTAATTGGTCTTTATTTCATCTTCTCATTCTCAGGTTGCTTCAATAGATGATTCTCCCATAATACTTTTGCTGGTGTCATCTTCCTCTTATGCAAAAAGTCTTTATTTCTCTCGTACAAATTTATGTTGACCTTTCTGCATAACTCAGATCTTCCCTCAAGTGGAATAGATCCAAGTATATAATATGTGATGGGTATGCTATATATCTACATGACATAGAGACATGAAACACATCATGAAATGCAGCCATAGCTGCAGGCAGTGTCAAACAATAAGCCAAAGGCCCAATTCGCTTCAAAACCTCAAATGGCACGATAAATAGCGGGTTTAATTTTCTTTTCTTCCCAAACCTTAATATCCCTTTCACAAGTGCAACCTTCAAGAACACGTGATCACCAACTATGAACTTCAAATTTTTTCTCCTTGAGTCAGCATAGTTTTTCTACCTACTCTATGCAGCTCACATTCTCATTCTAATGTTTTGCACCGCTTCGTTAGTAAAATGAACCAACTTGGGTCCTAAAAGTTTGTGCTTCCCCACTTCGTCCTAAAACACATATGACCGATACCTCTTCCTATAAAGAGCCTCAAACGGTGTTATTTGAATAGTTTCCTGATAACTATTGTTATAGACACTCTATCAACTACAAATGAATATCTCAACTACCTACAAAATCCAATGCATAGTCCCATGACATGTCCTATATGATTTGATGAAGTTTTTACATGGCTCTAAGGATTGAATCATTTTTTTAATACAAAAAATGAAAAAGTATGAAAATTTAAACCTCAGGCTTAAAAAAGAAAGTAATATATGTTAATTACTGCTAAGTTATACTCATTTAAGTTAATTATTATCTATTTATTATCTATTTATAAATAGCAAATAATACCAATTTGCAATCAATTCATGGATAGCAACAAGTGGTGCCCACATGAACTTCGTGATCCAAGAGGATCAACTTTGTAAAAGATGAGATTACTATTTATGAATGCAAATACTTTTATGAATATGTAACCGATGAAGTCAATAGAATTTATTTGACCCATATTTTAGTGCCACCATAAATAACTCAGTGTAATTATATTTATTCAGAGAGAGAGAGGAATTACATTGACATTAACGGTAAAACATAGAAATATTAAAAATTGTATACTAACTTTGCTTTTAAAAGTAATTTGAAACATCTAATAGTTCAATCTTTGGTTCATCATATTATTTTGTTGAACTGTAGTTTTAGATGAAACTGGTACACAGAATTAATTAAACACTAACAAATTAGGTTGACACAAGAAATAACACAAGTTTCAAGTATAAAAATCTATTTTCTAAAATATAAGGGAATGATTTGAAAAAATGTAAGATAACTTGAATATAAGATGGCATGCAGTTAATCAAACTCAAAATCAAAGAGGGAAACCTTGGATGCTTTTCTAAGAAAGTGGTGATCCATGTGCCACTCTCTCAAGTTGAAATTTGGTGACAAGTCCACTGCTTTAGCTGCAGCCATAGCTGATAAATATATAATGCCAATGTCAGTGTGGAAGGCATTTGAAGGAAGAAAGAAAGACAAGAAAACAAACAAACAAAAAGTTTTTCTGCACAAAACATCACCTTTTTATACTTTTCATCAACCAAAGGATGTTGCAGAAAACCACCAAAGATGAATCACCGTTCCAACTATTAGGACTTTGAAGAGATTTTAGGATCTTCAATTTCCCTTCTGACAAATCAAAACAATAGAAAAAAGAGAATTTGTAATAGAAATTTATGTATTTGGATCATCAATCATCATTCACTAGATTGTAATCTCGGTTGAGAAGATTATAATAAGAAAAGATCAATACAAATCTCATAAGCTTCCTTGAATGTATATCAACTCATCGAATAGATCATTTGTAAATTTACTTGTAACATGAGTTCCAGTAGACTTCTTCTAACACCACGATGCTAGCTTCAAGAACCTCTTCACTTGGACTTATAACAGATTTATCTCGAGCTCTAAGGCGATCTTGAAGGTATATCAACTCATCGAACATTTGTAATTTACCTGTAACATGAGCTCCAATAGACTTCTTCTTAAACCACAATGCTACCGCCTCGATGTCACACCACGATGCTAGCTTCAAGGACCTCTTCACTTGGACTTGTAATGGATTTATCTCAAGCTCTAAGGCGAACTTGAACTTGTGCTAAAATCAAACCTGATTAATCTTCAGACTCCACAAAAGCACAAACAGCCAACAAAAAGTATTCAACCAAATCCAGATATATGCAAATAAACTTCAAGAAGCCAAAATATTGTACCTGATAATATTTCATATGATATAATACTTGGCATAAAAAAGCGCATAGTATATCAGAAGGTAATTGCCATAAAACATATGACGTTACAGCCAATATATAGCGGTTGATATATCCATCAAGGTTAATTACATGGAAGCAGAAAAGGAGAAGATAATATAAAAACAAAGTTCAATAAGCAGAGGACTCGAGTGGTATAGTCAGAGTATGACCTTTCTTCATTATGTAACGAAATAATGCAACAACTGAATGATTTTATTATGGAACTAGATGATACAAAACTATATGCTGCAATGTTATAATAATGCAACAAGAAAAACATCAATTGAAAGAAAGATGACAGTCACGAATAGTAAATACGCTTGATATAATCTGATTGTTTCATTTTGATGAAACTTTGGACACTTTCCACATCACCATGCATGATGACTTTCCCGTCTTCCATGTAGATAGCGCCATCCGCATACTCGAGTTCTTCTAAGCGATGGGTCACCCATAATGCTGAAACATCTTCAGAATTGTGCAAAGAACTCCTAACTGCTTTGATCACCCCCATCTGTTTTAGAAAAGAAAATGTTGAAAAAGGATAACAAGATAATAGGATAGACACAACCTCAAAAAGTGAATAATTTGTTCAAATTTTATTTTGGTCCTCAGACTTTCCTACATATTTCGTTTTGTCTCCTAAAATTTAAATGGTCTATTTTAGTTTCTCTATCTTTAAAATGTTCTATTTTAGTCTCCATACTACATGCAATTTATTTAGAAACTTGATACTACATTAATTTATCTTTAATAGTTTAACAAGAACTCTATTGTGCATAAAAAGGGCTATTTTACTCCTTATTAATTTGTCATAATAATAAGTACTTCAATTTGTTAGGAAGCTTTAATAGTACATATGACTTCCAACCCTTGCTCGTGTACGAATTTAAGGATTAAGTAAATGAAGAAAACGTGTGTCTGTATCAAGTTTCTAGTAAATAATTTATTACGCTCATGACCTACCCTACGAATCCCTAGAAAAGTTTAACCTATCTAATTGAGGTTTTAATTAATAAATTTTCAACCTTAAACCATGAACCAAATTTTGAAGGATATCTCTGAACATTCCAAGCCTATCACATTGGCCGCCTAGGGAATGGGTGGAGACCAGATTTGTTTGCTATCAGCACAGCATGTCAAATTCTACCATTGGGATTATGTGATGGAACATTCACAAAATCTACTTGTATGATATGAAATACCTGATCCTTCTCATCGAGGAATGTGGTCAGTTCATCTAATAGAAGCACTTTACATGCTTCAGCCAAAGCACCAGCAATGGCAACCCTTTGCTTCTGACCACCACTCAGCGTTTGAACGGATCTCTGAGGAACAAGAATTAGGAACTTTCAAACTAATTTCAGCTGTTGTTTATAACTTCCTATTTTGATAAACTACAAAACTATATGGCTTGCCTGAAGGTAGCTGGACATGCCAACCGAGCTCAGAGCTTCCAGAACCCTTGATTTAACTTCTTCATTGGTCAGATTTAACTTACCGAGGCCAAATGCAACGTCAGCTTCCACAGTAGGCATCACAACCTGGCAAACAAAAGAATTATTTGCAGCAAATGTTCACTACAACAATATGTGCAAAAAGAAAGATGATAAACCCGTACAGCTTGTTTATTTGCAAGAATGCATATGCATGTTTGAAATTCAATAAATTTTCTCAAGCCAGCAACTTTGTGCTTTCTGTTTCTATCATCTTATAAGGATATATTTTAGGTCAAATTTCAAACCTAATCCTTGAATTCGGTCGTGTTGACACTAAACTCTCAAAAGCTTAATTGTATTCCTAAACTTTTTTTTTTAATTGATTTATTAAGTTCATACCCCATTATTATTGGTACTAAAATATTAACATAATTTACAATTTGGATAAAAAGTTGTAAATGACATGACAAAAGGAAATATGTCAACTAGATAAAATAAGGATAAAGTAGCATAAAAATTTGGTGGGACGAGCAGCCTATAAATAAAAAAAAATTGACCCACCCGAACTTGTTATTCAACTAGTCCACTCTCTCATGCTAATTGTTGCCACATCATGTTAAATAATTACTCCATTGTCTAGTCAACATGCCCAATCAACATTTAAGTAACAATGTCAACAACAAGAATTAATCAAACTCAAATTGAAAGTTTAAGATGCAACACACCCTATTTTTTCAAAGATGAAAGTAATCATGTTGAGTCAGTAATCAGTCATGTATTTTTGCATTCATATCTCATAGTTACAGAGTTCAAACCCTACTTTTGCTGTACTTTTCCTAACAAAGTCCATTCTTCAAATCAATGGCATTAAGTTTTGATGATGGCTTCACAAATAGAATACAGAAGTCCTCTAGAGGATGGATGAGCTGACTATAGCTAGTTAGTAGTAACTAATATAATAACTTTCAATGTGGCTCGGATGCAAAACCAACTACATCAAAATAAACCAACAATCACTTCAAGAGCAAAAGGCACACAGTTAAAACAAAACATATTTACTTACTTAAAAAGAGGAATTGTGCCATAAAAGTAAATTCTCTTCCAAGGGGTTAAATTCAGCTGCAATTTTATCATATACCAGTCGAAGGTTAAAACAATGAAGGAAGGTAACCTGATAATCGGGGTTTTGGAAGACAAAGCACTTTGGCTTCTTGACGTATACTGCACCAGTTGACGCATTCAAAAGACCAGCCAAGACCTACATAGGTGAACACATCGAGGACTTATAACTTGCATCATTTTGATCTATTGAACTACAAAAGTATGGTGACATATTAGGGCCCATTTGATAGTGGTGTTAAATTTTGTACTCTTTTGGATACTAAGAAATACGAGTCGCAATACCCAAAGAGTTGTCTCAATAAGAACTTGAAATGTAAGAAGATGCTCTCTAAAGTCAAAGGTTCAAGCCCCGGCTATAAACATAATACATAACATCCTTATTATCTCTCAAAGCTTGCATTAGAGTAGATGGAACCTCCACAGAGATTAGAGTGACTTCACTATAGTATGAAAAATACAAGACAGTAAGGATTTTCGGCATGTTTGACAAATCACGTTCAGATCAGAACAATTTTTTAATTTGTTTCCAAAACTGTTAAATATGGAATTTGATTATGCTTTTATGGGTTTCTGTTCTTCTCTTTATCAGTTTCTTCCAATTTTCTGCTTCAGTTTGGTCAGAATCTTCAGGTTTGTTTGGAATTTCTTTTCAGCCTCCAAAATCAATTTTCTTCAGCTCCTCCCTCCTTCGATCTCTTTTGCTTGGAGCTCAGCATTCTCGACTTCTATTTCGGTGTTTTGGTAGGATAATTTTTTTTTCTTTTTTAGAGAAATGTTTTAGAATTTTTTGGATAATCCTACTTGGTTGCTTCTATTTACTCCTTTGGGAAGCTTTCATCCTTTAAGCATTGGTCTCTTTTCATTAATTGAATGAACAATTTTCGTTTCTTATTAAAAAAAAAAAAATGTTAGTGCAATGCACAGCGAAGTCACTATTTTCTCTTCTTTTGTTTTTTCTTTTAGATAATAGTTATGAAACATGTATGGACTCAATTTTATTCTAAACAACAGAAAACTTCTTTCAAAGAGGGAAAAAAATGTTCAATCAGGCCTCTGTATCACAATCCAAATCCTTCGAATACAGATTACGGAAAGGGAAACGTGAGTGAATCCGGATTGTACCTTCAAGAGAGTGGATTTTCCACAGCCATTAGGTCCAAGAAGCATCCAAAACTGTCCTGACGGAATCCGGAGTGAGCAATCCCTAAGAATAGGCACAATTTTGCCCTGCCTCGTCGTGATCGAGAAGGTGAGGTTGCGGCCCTCAATGGCTATATTTTCAGTAAGATTTGCCCTGCATACACACAAACAGACACAAGAATCCAAAAAAATAGAACGAGAGCAAATTAACGGAAAGAAAATATGTACAAGAGCTGAAAATGGAATAGCATTGACACAATGAAGGAGAGAGTTGATTAAGAGAGTGATGGAACCTGGAAGGGGAGCTGGAGAAGAGCGGGGGACGAAGAGGTGGCGTAGTAGTCGGAACGGGATTGAAAATGGAAGTCTTCAAAAGCATGCTGCTGCAAAAATGGTGGACAAGAAATTCAATTCTTCGTAATGGAAGTCCTTGAAGATTGTAATCACCCAAGAATTTTGTTGGATTCTCGATGGCAGAAGAAGCAGAACTTAGCCTCTACACCTTTTCTTTTTTTCTTTATTTATTTATTTATATATTAAATCCTCTCCACAATATTATGCTATGATCATTCCCTAAATTAACCGATACGAGACTTTCATCATCCAACACCTCCTCTCAAACAAAGTACGTCTCCCCTTAATCGAGCCTTGACTCCTTTAGAATCTTAGTCATTTTTTACTGACTTCGAGCAGGCTTGACTTCTTTTGAGTCCTTTGTTCGACATTTGAGGATTTACCAATCTGTTGGCACGACTAAATTTAGGGCATGACTCTGATACCATGTTAGACGAACACGACTCTCCACAATGGTATGATATTGTCCACTTTGAGCATAAGTTCTAATGATCAAAGTCCAACATTGGCTAATTTAAGAAATGATCATGAATTTATAAATGAGGAATACTAACTTCATTGGTCTTACGTCTTGGGAAGCCCAAAGAAAAGCCAGCAGCCCTTATAGTCAAAGTGAACAATATCATATCATTGCTCGAGTCCGGGGTAGAAATGTCTCGCCCCTTTCTACATTTAGAGAAAGTAAGGAATATTTTTCGAATATTCTTCATCACAGTCCCACCCTGTTTAATATATATATATATAAATATGCACTTTTTTTACTATATTAAAAAATAAATTAGTTAATTTTCATGTTAAAAGACGGTGTAATATTAAAATTTGAAAATTTAAATCGATAAATATATATTAATTTATTAATATTTTTATACCATTTTTAATGAAGGTTATATTTAAAATTGAAAGCTTTAAAATAGCTATTTTTTTTTAAGAATAATAAATGAGAAAAAAAATTATACATGATAAATGAGAAATAAATGAGAAATTTTGTAATGATGAAAAATAAAATAGGTAGCGGAAATAGAGACGAGAAACGTTTTTCCATCCCCGCTCTGTCCTATAAACATCCCTACCGGTTAGTACTAAGAAACCCTGATATTTCTAGGTTTTTTTTAGTCTATGCTTTTAAAAAATTCTCAACAGGGTTCAAACACGGCCTCAAACTTGACTCAAGTTTGATCCAAGCTCATTTAAAAATCAATGTTTGACTAAGTCAGATTGATCTATGTTAATCGTGTTGGATGATGAAAGTCCCACATCGGTTAATTTAGGAAATGACCATGGGTTTATAATCTAAGAATACACTCTTAATTGGTGTGAGGCCTTTTGATGAGAGCTTATACTCAAAGTGGACAATATCATACCATTGTAGAGAGTCGTGTTCGTCTAACGGGGAGGCGTGCTTTGTTCGAGGGAAGGTGTTGGATGATGAAAGTAGAGTCGTGGAATCATTCAATTAGAACAAAATTTGGATTGAATTTTCGAACTAATCCATAAATATATCATGGGTCAACCCAAATATGAAAACTCAAAGAATCAATAGGCTTTAGGGTTGATCCACTTGGAGGTATCTGTAAAAGTAGCTGTAGGATACTATAATGCAATGATCATGTACTGTACATATTTTGAGGTTATGAAGGAGAATGTTGCCGCAAATTCGTGGATCTCAAGCTTTGGAAGGGCTCGCTTGGATCTTCTTCGTCTCCATGATCCGCCATAATTGCTGCTCCGAACTGTTGCACTACCAAAACTGAAGTCGTCGCTGCAAAATCCGACGAAGCTAACAAATCGCCGATTGCTCCAAGCTCTGGACATTCGCTCCAGTCTGTGAGTCCCGCGGTGAGAGGCGATATGTGAGATTCTCCTCTCCCCACGATGAACAGGTCGTGAGCATCATCCATTGATCTTATGCCTGCTACTGTCTCCTCGCCGTTGTTCGAGACTTTCTCGTTGTAAGATATTGAATCGTTATTTGAGTTTTTTGTTCTGAATTCCTTTATGAGTTCTTCGTCCAGTTTCCTCTCTCTGTCGGCTTCTGTTTCTGTAGTTGAAGCTATTAATGTGTTATCTTCTGGTGTTGGTTCTGATGCTTCTTCTCCAGCGATGAATCGCATTACGATTAAGCTTACTCGCGGATTTTCTGACATTCTCCATGCGTATGATAGGGCTTCTCTATCGTCTTGTCCCCCGAAGAACAACATTGTTATGTTATAGTGACATTCCTTGTTCGATGCGACTCGATTCGAGCCGTTTAAGCCTCGATCCACTAGGATTCCGACGGAACAAGGGGCATTGGCTAACACATTTTGGTTGACCAATCTAAACGCTGGATTTGTGGCTTCCATTCCTCCATCCACTGTTTGTTGCTTGTGGAATGGGATGATTATGAAGGCCACACGTTTATCCTCGGCTAAATTGCAGATGTCTTCGTGCATTGTGGAGTAGGGGGAAATGGCTGTGAGCGGCTGAACAGAGATGCATTCGACGTGTTGCTCGTAGTTCTCGAATGCATTGATGATATGATCTGATTGAGCTTGGGTTCGATTTAGGGCAGGGCGACCTGATTTTCTGGTGTTGTGGACAATGAGCATGGCAGAGGCTCGGCCTGTGAGTTCGACCAAGTGTAGAACGTAAATGCAAATTGGGGATCTTTTGGTTGGGTTTGAGGCATCAAGGAGGTTAATGATCGTTGGCACATTTCGAGGTGTGTGGATGCAAACTAATACTCTGAACTCTGAATCTGGTTTCGATGCTTGGATTGTTCGTTTCTTATACGGTAGAAACCTTCTTGTTGGCCTATAGATTATGGTAACTACAGGCGTTATTATCCCAGTCATAAACAGGGCTACAATCACCATAACTGTGAACGTTTTATCATCCAACACCTGCATATTATGTTTACATTGATACTTTGGTGAGAATGGCCTGAAAAGAGGAAAAGGAAAAACAACCCAACTTCTTCTATCTGCAGAGCATTCCAGGTTAGTATGCATTCATTATTGTTGCTCATGTGTTTAATATCTAGGATAATGGGTGCGTGCGTGGTGGATAGCAAGAGAAAACTCAACCCTAACTTATTAGATTTATAGGGAATTTCAGCTCAATGTATGTTGTTTGTGTTTGGAGGGACAGTATTGTTGAGAATTGTTGGAAGAGGAGTCCCACATCCGCTAATTAAGGGGTTGATCATGGGTTTATAAGCAAGGAATATATCTCTCGAAGCCTTTGGGGGAAGCCAAAAGCAAAGCCACGAGAGCTTTTGCTCAAAGTGGACAATATCATACCATTGTTGAGTGTCGTGATTCCTAACAAAATACCATATCATTATGAAGGGTCATGATTCCTAACAAAATATTATACCATTGCGGAGGGTCGTGATTCCTAACAAAATATCATACCATTGCGGAGGGTCGTGATTCCTAACAAAATATCATACCATTGTGGAGGGTCGTGATTCCTAATAAAATATTATACCATTGTGGAGAGTCGTGATTCCTAACAAACTATCATACCATTATGGAGGATCGTGATTCCTAACAAGCATGTGTTGAGAGGGTTTACCTTTTGGTCCTTTCCGACATTGAGGATGATCATTTCAATAAGGCCTTTGGTGTTCATAAGCAAGCCTAAGGTGACACCTTCTCGATAGGACATCTGATAACAAATGGAAGCAAGGAGAGTTCCAATGATTTTTCCAGCAAAAGCAAGGAGAGTGATCAATAGAATAGCTACCCAAGAGGTTGATCCTTCTATGCGATTCACATTAGTCTTAAGCCCACTTATTGCAAAAAAGAGAGGGAGAAGAAGCCCTGAAACAAAATCCTCAAGTTTCTCAATTAAAGCCACCCCAAGTGATCCATTTGGGATAACCAAACCGAACACAAAAGCCCCAAAAACCGAGTGTGTTCCAAGGGCATCTGTAACAAACCCTGAGATCATAACCCCTGTGAGGATCAAACATATATAGAACTCACTGATACTTTCCCCTTCTGGAGTTTTTCGAATTATCCACGAGATCAAGGGTCGAACGATGAAGATACAAAACAAAACAAAGCCTGTACTTGACAATATAACCCATAAGGAAGCCATAGATGAGGTATCATTCTCAGATAAGGCTATGGCTATAGCTAAGAGAGCCCAAGCACACATGTCATTGAAAAGGGCAGAGGCCATAGCCATCCTTCCAATCTCTGAGTTTATCAGTTTAAGCTCTGCAAGAATTCTAGCTAGCACTGGGAAAGCTGTCACGGAGAGCGCAATACCAAGAAACATAATGTAAGTGATGTTCAATTCCTCATCTGTTTTGTGCAACTGGAGTGAAAAGGCAGCTCCTATGCTGAATGGAAGAATCATTCCTGCTACAGCTATTGCCATTGCCTTCGACCCAGTTCGACGAATCACTGACAGATCCATCTCCACACCAACCAAGAACAAAAAGTAGAGAAGACCCACGTTGGCCATTGTTTCAAGCACCATTACACTTCTTAAAGGAAATACTGTGTTGGCAAAATCTGTACTCCTCCCTAGAACCGAAGGCCCCAAAATCACTCCGCCCTGTTACACACAGAAACGAAGTTTAAAGCTCCAAATGCCGTCATCAATTTGAACAGAGTTAGTGTGAGGGGTTAATGGGGAATCCTACGGGTGATCATAGGTTCATGAGTAAGAAATATATCTAATATCTACATTGGTAGGGGAAGTCTAAAGCAAAACTATGAGAGCTTATTCTCAAAGTGGATAATATCATACTGTTGTGAAGATTCGTGATTCTTAATATATATCAAAGTCATGCCCTTAACTTAGTCACGTCAATAAATTCCTCACATGTCGAACAAAAAAGTTGTGAGCCTTGAACGTAAAGTCAAAAAGGAACTCAAGTGTCGAATAAAGGGTGTACTTTGTTCGAGGGCTCGAAAGAAAGGAGTCGAGTCTCAATTAACGGGAGGCTGCTCGAGGACTTCATAGTCCTCAGGAGAAGTTTTATGGTGTACTTTGTTCGAGGGGAGGATTGTTGGTGGGGAGTCCCACATCAGCTATTTAAGAGGATGATCATGGGTTTATAAGAAAGAAATACATCTACAACGGTACGAAACCTTTATGGGAAATCCAAAGCAAAGCCATAAGAGTTTATGCTCAAAGTGGACAATCTGTTGTGGAGATCCGTGATTCCTAACCGATAGTACAGAGCGTGGAAATAAAATGACAAGTAATTTAGATAAGTGATCTTAACTCACCAGAATTTCAGAGATGACTCGAGGTTGACGTAAGGGTTTTAAGAGGAAAACCAAAGTGCGAGTCATCACAACCACCATTGTTAACTGTAAGATGAAGAGAGGGAGAGAATAATCAAGAGGGTTGTCGCCTTGCCACACCCCATTTGTTGTGATCATGCTAGGCGCATAGCAAACGATTGTATCGCCTGTGCTATTCGCTATCGAAGCCTGTTCATCCATGTCTTCTTCTCTTTTGCTATTCACCTCTCTTACAAACCCACCATTAACAGGTTCTTGATGAAACTTTGGAAGCTGTACGAGGAAGAACGTGAAACTTTTGAAAGAAAATGAACCAATGAACTGTAAATGCTTAGAGTTTCATTGGTTTGCTGTCTCTGTTACCAGCGAGGACCCAGCTTATCTGATTGGGTAAGAAGAAAACAGAACAAGAAATATTGAAATAATACTTGTGTTTTGAGAAGGTTGGTGATCTGTGGTCAATGATGGATTGACTATTTTCGTACCCCATATTCTTGGTGTGTTGAAAAAATGGAGGAGGCTTGTAAATTGGCCCTTTTTAGCGGTGCACATTATTAACCCGTCGTTAGGGAATGGTGAGAGTTTTTTTTTTTTTTTTTTCCTTTTTTTTTTTTTTGTTTCATTCGGAGTTCCTTCCGTTGAAGTTTAGAAGTTTAAATCTTCGTACTTTATATAATATTTTCTTTGTCAATAACTCTACGAATGTGAAGAACAACACCGGTCTGTGAGTATTTTGTTATGTATTGTTGTCAACCTCACGATTTTAAAATGAGAGGTTTCCACATTTTTATGTTCTGGGATTTAACAATTCACCACGTTCGGGGCCTGATGTCTTCGGCACACCATCTGTATCTGGCTCTGATACTAACAGCTTAAGCTCACCCTTAATAGATATATTTTAAAAATTATGAAATCGATAGCAATACGTAAGCTTGAGTTGTTACAGTTTTATTCTTTGCGATGCTTTTCTAGGTTTTCAATTAGATATTTAAGTATTTATTATTCTCGTTTGTTTTCACTTTTTTAAATCATTAAATCTAGTTAATAAATTATCCTATATAGCCTAATTAAATAATTAATAGTAATTATAACTAACTATTTTTAATTAAATAGTAATATCATTATATTAGTTAGACTTCATAATTTTTAATAAAGGCAAGATACTCTTATACGGTTGACAGCGACTGTCGCATTAAAGACCATGAAACTTGCATAGCGTATATTTCAAGTAAAGGCAAGATACTCTTGTATGGTTGACAGCGACATCGCATCAAAGACCATGAAACTTGCATAGGGTAGTTTATTTATTTTTCGTAGACTTTAGGTTAGTGTAGGTTATTGCTCTTTCAATATTTTATTTTAATTTACTTTAAATATTTCCTTTATTGGACTTTAAGACTCTATTTTAAATATATAAGTCCACGAAATCGTTTTATGAAATTATCTTAAATGAATTTTTCGTATAAAAGGATTATATCTTGTACATGGTAGCGTCTCTAGTTCCCTTTGGAAATTAGGGTGGTTTCATGTTATGACATGCTATGAGATATTTTGAGATAGAAGATTTACGATGCACAACCCATATGCTATGATTCAGGACGTGCTTTGGAAGAAGCGATCTGTTATCGAGCTGTATTATTGGGAATAACAAAAGCATCTCTAAATACTCAAAGTTTCATATCGAAAGCAAGTTTTCAAGAAACTGCTCGAGTTTTAGCAAAAGCCGCCCTCCGAAGTCGTTTTGATTGGTTGAGAGGTCTAAAAGAGAACGTTGTTCTAGGAGGAAGGATACCCGTTGGTACCGGATTCAGAGAATTAGCACACCGTTTGAGGCAACATAACAATATTCCTTTAGAAACCCAAAAAAAAAAAAAAAATCGAGGGGGAAATGAGAGATATTTTGTTCCACCACAAAGAATTATTTTTTAAGGTTAGTTGTGTCGTACAAATCATTTTAAGGTGAAGACTTTATGCATTTTGTGTGTACATATACATCGGGTTACTTTCCCATTTATGATAATGCGGACGGATGCGTACAATATGATGATGATCATGCTTCACATGACACTATCTAAACTAGCTCGACTATGATGGGGTCTAGGGGGTGCGAACCGCCTAGGGATCCATGCTCGTACATGTGGGTTGTGTGTAAAGAAGTACTACACATCCAATTTTGTCCGGATTGGAGGCTACCCTTATGATGATTTTAACGATGGTCTCTAGATTATGAGTTGTATGATGATTTTAACGATTGGTCTCTAGATTATAAGTTGTATGTGTTTGCATTCCTTGACCCCAACAGTGAGGTCACTTACTGAGTATTTTTTACGCCGTGTGCTACTTCTATTTCAGGTAAAAATAAGGTACCCCTATTGACAACGACGTCACAAGTAGAGACCATGACACGTGCATAAGATAATAATATTTCATTTTCTTAAACTTAGGATAGTATAGGGTGTTTTCACCTTTAATGTTTTAGTTGTTTTTATTTATTATTTCTTTATATTATTTTAAAGATGCTTCCGAACACGTAAGCCAATGACTGTATTTTAAGATGAAGTTTTAAGTGTTTATTCCGCATAAGAGTATAGATTATGACAATGGTAGCGACTTTAGGTTAATAGAAATCTAGGGTCGTTACAAGAGCAGTACCTCTCCCAGTAAAATATCGTTTAGGAAAAAACGAAGGTGGAAGCTGGTGGACATGTGATACCCGAGTAAAGGAAGGGTACATAAATGAACCGATACCACATTTGAATGAGAGCGAACTTGAGGATAAGATGACTAAGAAAGACTTAAAGGAAATGAAAATTAGGGACGAACCAAGGTGGAGGCCGATGGGAATGTGATACCCAAATAAAAGAGGGGTACATGAATGAACCCGAGACCACGTCTGAATCCGAGATATCTAGGACTTACAAAACTTAAAATAAAATGACCATTCATTTTATTTTTAAATATATTTTCACATTAATAATTAAAATTGATTTGTAGTTGGGCTTTTTGCCGGCCCGTAAGAGTGGGCCTGAGCCTTTACAAAGTTCGGGTTCCTTATAAGTATCTAAACCCTAATTTACAACCTACCAGATCGAAGTTCAGTTGCAGCAGCAGAGGGACGGGGGAACCAGCGCCATGGGGAGGAGTATTTTTCTTTCTTCTTCTTATAATTTCTTCATAGAATCTTGTGTGATTGATTTTCATTGTTTTTGTATTTGATTTTGATTATGTAGGACCTGCTAGATGTTACCGCCAAATTAAGAACAAACCCTATCCCAAATCGCGATTTTGTCGTGGTGTCCCCGATCCCAAGATCAGGATTTATGATGTTGGAATGAAGAAGAAGGGTGTCGATGAATTCCCATTCTGTGTGCACCTTGTGAGTTGGGAGAAAGAAAATGTGTCCAGTGAGGCTTTGGAAGCAGCTCGTATTGCATGTAATAAGTACATGTCGAAATTTGCTGGGAAGGATGCGTTCCATTTGAGGGTCAGAGTGCACCCCTTCCATGTTCTTCGAATTAACAAGATGCTTTCATGTGCTGGGGCTGATAGGCTCCAAACTGGCATGAGAGGTGCTTTTGGTAAGCCACAAGGAACTTGTGCAAGAGTTGCCATCGGTCAGGTTCTTCTTTCGGTTCGATGCAAGGACAACAACAGCCAACATGCTCAGGAGGCCCTCCGCCGTGCTAAGTTCAAGTTCCCTGGTCGTCAGAAGATCATTGTTAGCAGGAAGTGGTATGCCCCTTGACTGGGATGTGTATTAAGTTTCGTGTGTAGTGTGTGCACTTTTCTGCACTTTTCATATTCTTAGTTCTTTGACTGGGATCTGAGGAAACCTTTCTAATAGGGTCTAATTTGATTTAATGATGATTGTTCAACGTTTTCTTTCTCAGGGGATTCACTAAATTCAGCCGAGCTGATTATCTTAAGTTCAAGTCAGAGAACAAGATCATGCCAGATGGTGTTAATGCAAAGGTATCTGATATTGCGGATAACCGTATACTTTTTCATCGCGGTTCTAATTGTTGGGAGTGCCTTGATCTTTTTTGTTTATAAGCACAATATATAGGGGAATGAATCTAATCGTGGATAGGGGAGACTACTTTCTCTTTCATTTAAAAGGAATTGCAGTTCATTAAACTATAAAAAGTACAAAGCATTTGATACAATGTCCAGTTGAAACTAAAGAAGCATAGGGCAAGACTTCAAGGCAAACAGCATGGTTGTTACCTTAGAATTCTTTGAATGGGGCTTCCTTCTTAGCCTGTAGGACTGTGTTTTCAAGCGTGTTCTAATATTTCTTGGTTGTTCATCACTTATAAGCCAAAACCTCAAGGCCGATATGTTTATATATTTCTGTAGTTTGTTCGTACTTGCCTGGTAATTACTTTTTATTTGTTAACTTATGGTGTGGAAATTGGACTGTGCAGCTTCTTGGATGCCATGGACCTCTCGCTAACCGTCAGCCCGGAAGAGCTTTTCTATCTGAAGCTGCCTAAGTTAAGCTAGTTAATTTTCCGTTTTTAAATTTATATGGAATTAGTGTCAACATTATTACCATTGTCTCTGTTTGAACTTTGTGAAATCAGCGATTTCCTATTTGCTGTGGCTTATTACTTTTTGAAATTTGAATGGAACTTTGTTTCTTTTGACCATATTAGCTTGTTATGCCGACAGTTTTGATTTAATACCAAGTTGCTTAATCGTGGAACTAGCCCATTTGCAAAAACGATTTTTTCTCTTTTTGCAAAATCTGGAGCAGATTGGTTTCCTTTCTCTGTACTCTTATTTGTTAGGTATGTTCCAATTCTCTTCTCATTTCAGTTTCAATTTCCACTGTCAGCATTTTTGAAACGCAACTCCGAACTAGAGATGTATTTAGATATCCGTTTCCTGTTCATGAAATGGTTAGTTCCAACTTTTGATCAAAATGAGGAGTCTTTCAGAACATAGATTTTGATGTCAAGTCCCAATGTTTATGCTGTTACTTTCTTTACGATTGGAGCTAGATATACCTTCCCTGCTTGTTTCTCTTTCTTGCAAGTTCTTCTACCAGTTGATTGATTCTTTTCTCCTTTCCTTTTGAGAATCTTGTTCATGTGGGTGCTTGTGATTTTCCCATCCATCTTTTGATTCTATTTCGTGTTTGTGCCCACTGTAGCCTTCAAAAACTATTCTGGGGACTTTTCCATTTTGCTTTTCGCTTGGCATGGGTGGGAGCCAATTAGTTTTCGGATGAAAAATAACTATTCTATGTTCAAGATTGCCTAAGGAAAAGCATCATCTCTTAAAGACAGTATACAAAAAGGCTATTTTGTATTGGAGACGGTGTTATGAAAATCTATTATAGGTTAAAAATAGATTTATCAACCCTAACATATTTTCATGGTAATGGATAAATGCTATATCTTCTTACTCTT